TCCGAAGCTTCAATCCCTCCAGTCAGCCAATCAACAGTAACTTATCATCATGTCAATAACCATCGTTTTCATCCTGAGTATCAACAGGTGTCTTCTTATTTATTGCTTTATTCTGTATTATTATTATTATTATTATTATTTTTTTTTTTTTTGGGGGGGGGGGGGGGGGAGAATTATTGTTTTCTTTCTGCGTTTTCGTGTTTTTTAAAATTTGAAAGTATTTAATGGCGTCTCTTTCCTTTCTATATTTTTCATGCTTAACTTTCCATTTTCATGTTTTGTATTTCCTCTAAATCTCTTCCTCGTTCTTCCTTCTGCATTAACTCTTTTCCTCATTCTTTATCTTTATTTTTCCGTATTCCTTTTCACTCTTTATGCGTCTATTTTCTTATCCTTTTCTTTTCCTCCCCCGTTTCTTTCTTCCTCCTCCCCCTCCTTTTGTGTGTAATTACAAAGAACGTAAAGAGTAGGAAGAGCAGAAGAGAATGAATGACAAGAAAAACAGACGNAGACGAGAGTGACGAGAGAAGACGAGATAAAGAAACAAAAGCACAGAGAGAGGGGGGGGGCAGGGAGACAAAGAAAAAGGGAGGAGAAAATGAACAAAAGGTATGAGAGGAATTGAAAGAAATCTAATTCATTTCTTGAGGGCAAATTTCCTCAAATCCATGCAACCATTTTTACTTGCTTCTCCGTTTTGTCGAGCTCTGACAAACCGAGGCCGTGGTTCAGCTTTAGACAACTTTGAACAGTGGGCTCTATGGTCGTGGGTTCAAGTGACGTGACAGGCAGTGAGAAAACAAACGAAGGAATAAAACTTAATTCAATTTTTGTTTATTTTACCAAAATACAAAAAGCTTTATGATTGTCAGTCATAGAGACAACAGTCAAAAAAAAATGTCGCTTGCACCAGCTCAAGATTTGGCTAGTCATTTTTTATCACACTATCGCCGTGGCAGCGCAGCTCAGCTTCGCTAACCCGAATGCAGTCATTAACAAGTTTACAGGCTAAAAAATACAATTTCACAACAATTGTCAAAAAATCTATAAATTATTAATTAAAGAGATGGGAGGGTCGTATAAAACAGGAATGAGATACCGGCAATTTAAAAACATACATTTAAAAACTGGTTCGCATTGTGGATCTCTTGCAAAAAAAGAACCAAATGCATTTTAAACACCTCTCTCGGCCTACCGTTTTCTCTATCTTTAACAAGTTTTTAAAAACACGATTTAACAAATGCTGTGACAGTGACTGAGTATGACTGGTCGGCACCAATATTAACGGCTGGAAAACCTTGCAAATCCATAACTTAAAAAGGGGAGAACTATATACCACAAGCATAACCACTCACACGGCTTTCATTCAAGTAGGTGCTTTTATAATATATAAATGCGATGAAACAATGCATTCTATACCAGCTTCCTGCTTTAAAAAAAAATACATACATGAGTTTTCCCTCTGACATGGCTTATAAATAACTTGTTATAAAAAAAAAAGCAAAAAAGGGGAGGGGATGTTGAACACATGGAGACGGACGGTCCTACACAGTAACGGCTTTCAGACATTGGCTTCCACAAATAACACAGTCACAAGAATGTTAATATATAGAAATATCACTAATGAGTTGTACACCACGAGAAGTGTGTAGCAGACTTGTAAAAAAGTATCCAAGAGCGTCCGTTACCTTTTTCCCAAGGCAGCACTCGTACATTTCTCAAAGGGGGACAACAGTTCACCTTCACTAGGGACGGCACGACCACCCCGGGTTATCACTGAACATCAGATAAAAATGATATAAAATAAGTACTTTTCTTTAAACTGGGATGAGCCGCCACGCCCTCTAGCACGAGGCTAGAGGGTCGGCCTACTCAACCAGAATACTCGTGTTGGGTCGGCCGTAGTCCTGTGAGATAAAGAGATCATTGGGGCCGCCGAACTTGCCCTTAGGACCGCCTATGTTCATGCCGGCCTGCTTTCTGCCGCGCATGTCGTGGTTCTTGGCGTTGATGGCGCGGTCGGCCGGGTCCTCCAGCATGGTCTTGATCAGCTCCGGGTCAGAGAGCCTCGTCAGGAGCTCGTAGAAGCGAGCGTGACTCAAGTGCTGCTTCAGTCTATACAGCAGGTAGACGTCGCCGATCTTGCAGCAGTTCACGACGGAGACTATGGTGTTACTCACAGTGTCTTTGGCATTGAGAGGCTTGGCCACTTTGAGCATCATCAGGCGGAAGTACGGAAGCCACATGAAGCCCAGGAAGATGAGATAAGCGCACGTGATCGTCGTCAGCAGGATGAGCCACACCCACACGCCGAGGAACACCTTCTCGTAGAGCTCCATCACGGTCAGGTGGCAACCGAATTTCTCCGTCCGCTTGTTGACCAGCTTGTTCGCATCGCCCAGCTCACACTTGGCGAAGGGAGGGAACGTCCGGGACATGTAGTCGGAGAAATTGACGGGGTCGCGGCTGTAGGGGTAGGCCATCCAGCCGTAGTGCATGAAGCGCCCCTGGAACACGAAGTCGAGGAACTGGAAGCTGATGATGTCCACCACCAGGGCGACCAAATTGCAAGTGACGAACTTGTAATAGAGCCCGTTGTGCGTCTTAAGATTGTAGGCGATGTAGCGGGCGGCGCGGTCCACCAGCTCTCGCTCGACCTGGTCGTAGCGGTGCGAGTTCACCGCCAAGTCCTCGATCAGCTTCTTGACCTTCGGGTTCTCGGAATTCTTGGAGATTTTACGGGGGATGTAGTAAATGCCAGCTAGCACCAGGAGCGTCCAGTGGATCCATCTGTAGAAGAGCAGGAACCTCTTTTCCGAGGTGCCTTCCTCCACGTAGGGGTACGAAAGGCAGATGTTTATGTAATCTAAACGGACCTGCGTCTCGGCGTTGAAATGCGAGACGCACGTGATAACGTCGCGGTGGTACCAGGAGTACCACACGGCAGAGAAGCCGGCTAGTAAGAGCCAGAAGGTCCACTGGTAGTGCATCTTGAGGATTAGACCGTCGCAAGGGGAGGTGCACGGCGCACGCTTCTTCTTGAAGATGTTCACTACATTGCCCACCAACTGGCGGACAATGTCTGTGCCCCCGTGGCCTATGATAGCCATCTTTCAGGTCCTGAAAAATCAATTTAACCACATTAGGCGTCTGAAGTTGCCAAGACGGAAGGAAGCACCTGAAACAAAGCTTATCAAAAAGCGGGTTATTCTCTCACTGTCCAGCGTCGTGCCATAAACCAGCCTGTGCCCACAACCATGCCTCTTCAAATTACCACTTTGTCTAAAGCTGAGCCCATGCGTAGGAAAGAAGGAAGGAGGAAAATGAAAAGACAGGAATCGTTCGATTTTTATTAATAAGAAATGATAAAAAAACAAAAGTGAAGCAGAGTCGTCTCACAACTGTTGCTGCGTCCTACTGCGTTGCGTCGCCCCCCCTACTCTTCCCTCCCCCTATGTCCCCACCCCCACCCCCCTCCCCTCCGGACTTCCCAATCCCCTAAATAAACCGTGGAATGGTCAAGTCAGAATAGTTTAGTTCTCTTGTCCTTAAAAACGCTTTTAAATGCAAGAAACCAGATTTTTAAATGCCAAAAACAAAAAGCAGAAGACAATAAATGCATTAATTGGCAATGTCAGTTTGTTATACATTTTATATAAAAAATATCCTTAAGTACAATAGCTACGGTAACTATAAAATGCAGTCATAACAAAGTACTAAAATAATTCAACATCAAACGCACCGCACCGCATCCACACTAAAAAATATATAATATTAACAGCACTATATTCACCCACCACTTGGTAAACAACGCCCATCATTACCGTCTACAAATGCCAGAGAAATACAGCGACTTTAGAAAGGTCCTTTTTGTACTATCCATTTGACAAGTACCGTTCTGTTTACTTTTTTGAATAGTAGCTTCTGGCTGGCGAGCTCCGTTCCCTCTGTATTTATACTTTTTTTGGAAATGACTCATTCCTTCCTGGCAAGTAGTAGTCATGGCTAACGTTATTCAACTAAGATACTGGAGTTGGGAAGATAGCCCCCTTCCCCGGGAGTGCGAAAGAGGGCATCGTGGAACTTGCCTGCGGGTTTCTGGTTCTTGTTCGTGCGCTGCCGGAGGTCTGGGCCGCCGCCGCCGCCGCCCTTGCCGTGGTGGTCGATGGACACCGAGTCAAGCATTGTGCGCAGGAAGTCGGGGTCAGAGAGGCGGGTCAACAGCTCGTAGTAGCGAGCGTGGCTAAAATGCTGCTTCAGGCGGTACAGCAGGTACACGTCACCGATCTTGCAGCTGCTCACGATGTTGCAGATGGTGTTGCGGATGGTGTCCTTGGCGCTGAGGGGCTTAGCGATACGCAGCATGAATAGGCGCGCCCATGGGACCCACATGAGGGACAGGAAGATGATGTAGCCCACAGTGATGGCCGTCAGGACGATGAGCCAGAGCCATAGCGCCAGGAACACCTTCTCGTAGAGCTCCATGACGGTGAGATGGCAACCCAGGCGTTCGATTCGCTTGTTGGTCAGCTGGACCTCGTTGTGCAGCTCGCAGTTGGCAAAGGGAGGGAACATCTCGGACATGTAGTCAGTGAACTGCTGGGGGTCGCGGTTGAACGGGTAGGCCTGGAAGCCGTAGCGCAAGAACCGACCTTGGAACACGAAGTCCAGGAATTGGAAGCAGAAGATGTCGACGAGAAGCGCGACCAAGTTGCAGGTCAGGTATTTGTAATATAGCCCATTGTGGGTCTTAAGGTTAAATGCAATGTACCGGGCAGTGCGGTCCACGAGCTCCCTCTCCAAGCCGTCATAGCGGTGGGCATTGACAGCCAGATCCTCGATCAGCTTCTTGACTTTGGTATTCTCTGACGTCTTGGAGATCTTACGGGGAATGTAGTAGATACCAGCCAGCAGGAGCAGAGCCCAGTGGATCCAGCGGTAGAAGAGGAGGTAGCGGCGCTGTCCGCCCTCCCCTTCGTCCAGGTCCTCGCCCGCGCCCTGCACGAACGGGTACGAAAGGCAAATATTGATGTAATCCAACCTCACCTGCGTCTCAGCATTGAAGTGAGACGCACAGGTAATGACGTCCCTGTGGTACCAGGAATACCAAATGGCTGAGAAGCCGCCAAGCAAGACCCAGAAGGTCCATTGGTAGTGCATCTTAAGTACCATGCCGTCGCATGGTGCTGTGCAGGGCGAGGCCCGCTTATTGAAGATATTGACCACATTTCCGACAATCTGTCGGATAATGTCAAAGGATCTTCCACCCTGGCCAGGCATTACCATCCCTCTTTCTCTGCAAAGGGAGAACTCGATTACTGGTTCGATCGCATGTTCCTCCGTCATCTGTATGTCATTATGTCAATCTTTCTCATCCACACTATGTCAGTTTCTCAATCAAATATCACAGCCCTGAACAGATTCAACTACACATTTAGCGTTAGTAGGAAAAAGAAACTAGTCTGTTATTAACTAGTTGACTTAGTGGCGGCAAAGGAAAGGTTTAAAGGAATTTATTAATAAACCATTAACCTGAATCTTTGACAGATGAAGGAAGAAAGGTGGCATGCAAGATTTAAAAGAATTATTAGAAAGACAGTGGGGAAAGAGGCACAAAGGAGAGACCTAAAAAAACATGCAAAACACAAAATTCTCATTTACCTATTCAATATATAAAATTCTGGGTTCTAGAGAACTTCGTTAGATGGCTGTTAGAGCCAACTGCAAAAATGAAAGGTGCATATATTAGCATTAAAGGGTAAATATCTAACACCTAATAGGCATCAGCTTTAGATTTTTTATATAAAGTAAAAAAAAAAAAGATTATGGAGTACATCACCTAAAACCTTTATTATGTTTAAAAAAGGTTTTGGCTAAAGAGCAGCTCTGGACTAAAGCTTTTTATGTGGAGAAAAATGACAGAGCAACCGGGCATGACAAGACAAATGTTTCCGTGCCTGCAGAACAAAAAAAAAATAAGTCTAGCACTATTGAAGTAGGCACTAAAGTGAGGTCTAGTCTATGGCACACAGCTGACACGAGCCCAGACACATTGAACACAAAAGATAACACAAAACAAGTCATGAACATTGAACTTGCACATATTCTGGGTTGGCATCAGTCGCGTGGCAGTGGAAAAAAAAAACATTTTATATATTTTTTTAATGTGATAAATACCAGGGCACCAGCGGCAGCCATATATAAAAAAAAAAAATCGTTATCTTCACATCCACTCAAAATAAGTCATTCTTACAGACAGGCGTGGGCAACTGTAAACTCATTCACGTTGATAAAGAGTAACAGTTTAAAAAAAAAATGTACTAGCAGTAGTAGCAGTAATAGGACTATTTGCACGACCGTGTCAAGAGAAAATGACCACATTCTGCGTACTCTTGAGAGGTGAGTGGGCAGAGCATAGCGGACAACCCACGCCCTAGCCTGGTGAGAGGGGACGCGGGGGAGAAGGGGGGAGAGGGAAGGGGAAGGGAAGGAAGGGGGGAGAGGGGAGGAGCAGGAGGGGAGAGGAGAAGGGGACGTGAGGGGAAGGAGCAGGGGGGAGAGAGGAGGAGGGCGCGTGAGGGGAAGGAGCGGGGGAGGAGGAGGAGGGCGCGTGAGGGGAAGGAGCGGGGGAGGAGAGGAGGGGCGCGTGAGGGGAAGGAGCGGGGGAGGAGGAGGAGGGCGCGTGAGGGGAAGGAGCGGGGGAGGAGGAGGAGGGGGCGCGAGGGGAAGGAGCGGGGGAGGAGGAGGAGGGCGCGAGGGGAAGGAGCGGGGGAGGAGGAGGAGGAGGGCGTGTAGGGGAAGGAGCGGGGGAGGAGGAGGAGGAGGGCGTGAGGGAAGGAGCGGGGGAGGAGGAGGAGGGGGCGCGAGGGGAAGGAGGGGGAGAAAAGGATCAGGACGGTTTAAGGAGCAAGAGGGGGTGATAGAAGTGGATGGAGGGAAAAGGAAGAGGGAGAGGAAAGGGAGAGGGGAGATGAGGA